ATCCCTCTGTTTCCACATGGAGGAGGGGTTAGCTGGAAAGGGGATTTCCTATTTTCTTTCATCCTACCACTACAGCGAAATTGTATCATTATCCTACAAGCCTGAGCACACTCCTAATAATACAACATTTACTATTTCCCTCACTTTCACCTCCTGGTGATACCATCTATTGGGCATTATCCTGGAGTACCAACGATGAGTCAGCTAGCAGTGCCAGAAACGTAACACGAAGGGAAGTTTACAATTCAGCCCAGCTCCCAGCACTCTATATTACCCCAAAGTTCATACAAACAGGCTTGTAACACTGTGGTGGACTACCAAGAAATAGAGGCCATTCTAATGATTTATCATATTAAAAACAGATGGCAGCTTCAATAAATACAGCCTGGGGGAGGAGAGGCAGAAGAGAGTTATGACAGATATCTGCTCATACATTAAAGGATTAAAGGGAAAGGTCATTGCTCAGAGACAGAGCGGAGAACAAGGGTGTGTATGCTCCAATCAGACAAAGGTCAGAGATTCCTCTTCAAGTCTAAATATTTTCATACACAAATATAATGAGCAGCAAAGTAACAAATAATATTTATTCTTGTTTCATGATGTTGCTTAACACATTATTCTCTTCACATTTACAAAGGCAGAAAATATTACCCTGGATAAAAGAACCCAGTAAAACCTGCTGACTAGGAAGTGAGAGACAATTAAATCTTGTATATATGCGCACATTGAGACTCTGCTATGTCAAGGCACCTCTATGAAATGTGTTCTAAACCCCAACATTGGAACACAAAGGACAGGCATGGCAATGAAAGGGCATCCAAGTCCAAAAGCAAATATTTACCATATTGCAGCTTACCAATCATTAAATGTGGTGGCTGCATTCGTTTCCTTTTTTTTAGGCTTTTTAATATCACCTGGTGATCCGGACAGTAACACAATTCCTGTCTTAGGTTGACTCCACTCTATGGAGAAGCAATGGAGCCACCCTTGGACAGCAGCATTGTCACCATGTGGGGAGAGTAGTGATAAATGCACCAGCAGATTTACATGGACTTGACTGAAGCTGGCCATACACCTATAGATTTTCTGCAGATTTTCTATAGTCAGAAAACTGTGTGGATGGAGGAATCTCCCGCTGGGCCAAGCTTCGATATCTTGCTGGTCGGCCCTGAACAATCTGATTGGACGCAGGCACTGTTCAGGTATTTTGAGAGCCAGCGGGGCCGACTAGCAAGATACTAAAGCGTGGCCCAGCGGGAGATTCCTCCATCCACACAGTTTAGCGCAGATAGAGGAATCTGTTGCACTTTGTCTGCAGATTTTCTATGGTCAGATGGAAAATCTATATGTGTATGACCAGCTTAACAAATGACATCTGAACTCCAACTAACACATTTTAAGCAGCTACAACAACATATTTTTTCCTCCTTTCAGGATAAAGTTTTTACATAAATGAATAAAAGCTGGCCATTGTAACTACCCATGTCAGTGTTAAATGGTTTGACTCCGCTCTCTGCCACTTTTGCTGGACAGCTCGGTCTGGTAAAAGGAAGTTGAGAAATAACAGACATTGTAATGTACAGTAAAAAGAGAAAATTATCCGGGAGCATTGTGAGTGTGTATCAAACACCCAACAACGACCTTATCATTAGCCAAGGAAGGTGGGGCAATTCACAACAAACAATACAAACATTATCCAGCACTCTACTAGCCATCCCAGTTGACCCAATTTAAACTTGTTTCTAACATTTGTATACATTGTATTATTTGTTTGCAAACACATGTGGAAGCACCTATCTAGCCTGTGTATTATGAGCGCAGCAATATAGCAATGAATACTTTGGGGGTTCCAAAGGCCCATTTCACACAAGCTGCTCAGATCCTCTCCTGATCACTGCAGTACAGATCTGATGTCACCGCTGTGACATCCGTGTCCGTACAGTTTTTCCTCCATTTTGAGATGGAGGAAAAAAAATTGCAATTACCAGACCCCATGCCAGTCTGTGATGAATCGGATGTAAACTGATGTGTGTCCGTGTACATCAGATTACCCCAGATCCGGGATGAACTGGTCCAGCAAAACAGAACACTATTTCTGTGAAGGCTTTCATTCATCCAAGTCATGGTATATCTGTAAAAAATAAGTCAAGGCAACTGGACTTGCTGTATGTTTCTTGAAGACAGCAAGTCCAGTTGCCTTGACTTATTTTTTACAGATAGAACACGATTTTGTTTGTTTTTCCATATCTGGTCGGAGTCAGGTGTAAATGGTTACAGGTGTAAATGGTTACAAACAAGGTGTAAATGTAAATGTTTACACACGGCTGCCCTTAGCCCTACATTGGGTATCTGATCAGGTCTGCCTGAAATACTGACAGGCAGACCTGATTGGAGCGGCCGTGTGAAAGGGGTCTCAGGGTTTATTCACACTAATGCATCCCCGCAACACACGTTGCATGTGTTGCGGCATTGTGGTGTTATTCATTCTGAATGGCACCCCAACGCACCTTGCCAAAGGCATGCATTGCAGCGCACTTTACAACACAGGATGTCGCTAATAACGCATGTTTAAAGCATGCCACTCTTGTCATGGAGTCCTTTAGGCTACCTCGTACTTATAATAATTTTTATTAAAAATAACACTTCTATAACTAAATTTGACACATCACAGTAGTCTTCTCATCTAATTACCTAGTTGGCCAGGTTTATGAAGGCCAGAGCAAATAATGCCCAGTAGCATACCAGTGCCATAATAGTAGCAGCTAGCAACATTGTGATTCTGATCTGACAATAATGTCCTGCAATCCATAAAAATTAAGCACCCGCAATTACTCCCTGACATTTGCACTCACTGTGCCCCCTACCAGCACATCCCCCCCTCGCTCTGCCATTAAGCCTCCACACTTTTCAGGTTACTTGAATAAAAATGATGACATACTGTTTCTTTTCCTCTGCACTCTATCAGGCAGTGTTAAGTGGAACCTTCGAGACCTACTGTGTAACTCTACAAAACAATAGGGAGGGGGCCTACCCATCTGCAACACACTGCTTGGACCCAACTTCCCTTTAGTACTGTGGAAGGAGACACGTCTCGCTAGGAAGGGTGGGCATGGCTGATATACACATCCACACACAAATATAAAATATATATACTTATTATATATCATACACACACACATAAAATTTGCTATTCTAACCTCTGATCCAAGACTCGATGAAATGATTTGTGTCTGTATTCAGAACATTTCTGTTTATTGCAACAGAGTAATTGTTATAAATGGTAAAAAAAAAAATGAAGCAGCAATCTGTACTCCTGGCTTATCTGACCTCTCTGCTCATTTAGTTCTGCTAAAGTAACATTTTGGAAACGGCTTAATGTACTTGGCTCACTAGCACTGATTTAATCACTGATGGACACAAATGAAGAATATTATTATTTTTTTATTAGAAATGTGGAAAGCCAATATTTCATGGAAGGAGAATTCACAGAAATGCTAATAGTAGAGGGGCGAACTTTGCTCTGCATCTGATTTAAAGTGACTGTCACTTGGAAAGCAAAGAAAGCTGCTAGCAGGTATAAAGTGTAGAGGTGCCTGAACATACATGCAGCAGCTTTCTTCATTGTCCTCTGCTATGTGTCAGTGCTGGGCTGGTTTTAACAGGCAAAGGCCCAACACTTATAAGTAATGTCAGAGCTTGCTTGCATCCTCTCGACTCCCCTTACACTCCTACCAGCCAAAAACGATACTGGGCTGGCTCACTGGTCAATTAGAATTAGAGAGCTACAGGTATGTGCAGGCACCTCCAGGTACCTACAACTTGGACCTGCTAGCAATTTTTTTTTTATTTAAGTGACAGAGTCATTTTTTATTCGCAGACTTAGAAAGGTCAGTAACTTGGAAAGCACATAGTATTTTTAGAAAGGAGTATTCAGCAGTGGCAGCCTATGCGTTTCCTCAGCAGAGATTTCTTTAGAATGAACAAGTCTAAACTAAGAAGGCATGCGCAATATAGGCACCTTGTGGTTTTATGAGTATCTCGAGTAATTCTCAAATTATTTTCTATACACCTGAGGAACCCCTGGTATAGGTAAGAAAAGAAGCCATTATAATTGTGGGCTGAACAAAAGAAACAGATTCCTCTATCCATGCTGTTAAGCTTCCCTGGTGGGGTATCGTATTCTGACAACCTATGACTGTCAAAATACTTGTGACTGTTCAGCTGACAACTTTCGACCCAGCTTGAAAAGTCAACAGGGGACAGGCTGGATTCCCCCCTCCCCGCCAGTGCTGACTGGCGGAATGGACGGGAGAGGGGGCGGGTACAGCTGGCACTGCCTCTAGATAGGCAGAGCCAGATGTCAGTCAGCTGTATACCTCGAGCTATAGCTCGAGGTATACTGAGCCTAGGGTGACCCCGTTACCCTAAGGAGAACTATGGGGAAAAGCGTTAACCCCATAGTTCTCCTTTAAGCTAACTATAGACTGGCAGATGTCTCTCTTCGAAGAAGCAGAAAACGATCTGCATGTAGTGGTTAGCAGAGAGCTGCCTCTGTATTTTCATGAAACTTATTCCATAAACTAAAGTGGCAGATTCATTATTAATGCCATCAAGGGAACGATCTACCAGGTTTACTAACAATGTCCGATCAAATAACAAGCACTTCTAACATCAGAAGACTGTACATGTCTCCTGATGGTGATTCTAAACAAATGTAATTGCAAGGTGATTAAAAACAACACGTTTATCTCATGTGAATGGAGGTGAGCATACTGCATTCCGATGTCTATTAACCCAGCTGCATACACATTTTACAGGTCATCCACCTGGTCCTGCAGGAAAATTACTGTTCACATGGACCTGAGAAGACCAAGGGCGCACATGCTCGGAAAAAGCTCTTAAAAACATATGATACGTAGAGAACCATGAGGTGGCTATCAGATATTACCCTAAAACCAGCTTGGTTCCTTTATCATAGGACAGAGTGAACGAAAGTTTACCTGGACTGCCCGGTCAATGTTCCCACCAGCCTGACTTAAGGCCTCTGCAGCAGCAGTCTCAGAATACCCCATCCCACGCAGAGTATTGATCTTGTCAAGTCTTTTCCTTCTTTTCTCTCTCTCTTCTTTTTTAATCTTCGCCTTTTCCTAAAAATCACAATTAAAACAAATGTTTTAATACGTTAAAGCGACTTGCCTTCTGCTGTTAAAACACGGAGATCAGTCACTGAGTAAAGAGGCCATTCGGAGGACTTCTAGTATTTTTCTCAATGAATACTAGGCGTTCTGCGATTGGATCAGGGGTGGTGGTGTCTCGTCTTGGTGCCGACATTTAATTAGTGACTGTGGAAATATTCATAGTATACAAATCACAGCTGAATGTCACTGAAAACTATACCCTCTGGACTGTAATTGATTTCTCACTGCTTTCATTGCGGACTGCACAATTTAGAATACAAATAACAGGAGACTTCAAACTCTGGATATGAAATTAGATAATGGAAACGCTTTGCATGTCAAGGTTTCAAAGCCCTGTCAAGTATTAACCTTTATTTTGAGCTCTAAATAAATACACGTGCGGGTACTGGTAAGTTGGGTCAGATGCTGGTCTTGTATATATTTCTCCAGTGACTCCAGTGGTGAGATGTTTGAGCACTGACTTCTATCTTCCTTTGGGGTGTCACATTCCATTGGGGGAGCCTGGCAGCCTTGTTTGGCTCAGAAAAGCACAGAAATGAAAAGGCCAAATGATGGGGTCCTGATCCCCTAAGGCAGGGGTGTCAAACTCAATTTAATCGTGGGCCGCATCAAAATTATGGTTGCCCTCAAAGGGCCGGCTGTATCTGTAAGACTATCATAATTGCCTCTGCATTCGATTATCACTGGTTTTAGTAATAACTTAATACCTAGATCTGAAAGTAGAAGTCTAGGAAATGGCCTGGTGGGCCGGATTCCACCCCTGGGCCTTGAGTTTGACACATGTGCCCTAATAGATTCCATATGTTCAGTAAACAAATAGCTAGAGATCCAGTTGTGCAAGAAAAAACAAACATTTTTGATGCAGCCCTATGAGAGGGAGTGTAGACTAAAATTACTGCTGATTTATTGTCACTGGATACTCTGCTAGGTGATTTGAACCATAAACATCCATCCAAAAACTGAAATGTCCTTTTTCAGTAGAGATGGCACTGAGAGTGGACATAAAAAATATCTCCGGTGAGGAAATCATGCATCAATAAAAACATGTTTAGTGATTAACGTTGGGGTGATGGCAGGCAGGAGGAAATCAGTCTGCAGTCTCCCCTTCCCTTAGTCATAACTCATTTAGACTGAACACTGCACCAAGGTGTGAGAGACATTTGTGCACACAGCCAGGAACATACATTCTACTGTGCAGGCACCAGAATTTACAAGCTGTGTGATCTGTGGACCACCATCTCAGCCCAGGTAGTAGATGCTGACCCTGAATGATAGCGGAACACAGACAGCACCAATCTGCTGTGGAAAGAAAAGAAAAAAAGACCAAAGCGTTCTCAGGAGGAGTACTGTAATTGTTGTGATAGTTAATAAACAACTGTCAATACATTACCGAGCATGCATGTATTTAAAATCGATTCATATATTTGATGCTAGGTCCACCTAAACAGTAGTCAGGCCCTACATAATGACCTGAATCTAAGTTATAGGGGCATTTTCTGCCTAACAAAAGGTAATACCAACCTGGCAACAGACTGTGCTGTCTTAACTTAGGCATAGCTTTTAGTTCCAAAGGTTTAAAATGGCTGACATGTTCCCTTTAACCGAGTCAAATCCTTTAGCTAAGATAATCATTACTATTACAAGATCTTTCTGAGATGTATTTATTTGACCTTGCCTGTACAGTATATCACTGTTACCTATATATCAGCTGTATTCACCGTCTGCCAGTCTCTAATTGAGAATACCTAAAGAAAATCAGTTCCTATGTGCATGCGTTTCAACTAATTACAACCAGTAGAATGGCCTAAATGTGTATTTACGGAGGCCTTCTGTAATCCACTGCACAGCAGCACTCACTCTGGGAGAAGGGCCATATTACAAGCCATTCAGACTCTGCTGCAATGCACATATGCTGGCAGTGAACATAACTGGCAGACAGAAGGAGAAGAGAGATAAATTGAACAGTGTGTAGATTGTCCTTCTTTGTCCAATCAGCAGGCTGAGAATGCGTTCTTGTCTAAGCTGTGCCGTAGTGCAGTTGTATCTGTAAACCTGTTTGCCTGAAATTCTAAACTTACCGGTAGTTTAAGATTAACAATATATTGGGTGTACTATCCCTCAGTCTCTAATTAGCAATACTTAAACAAAATTCTTATTACAAGAGTCATAACATATTTGTTGCCGTACCTCTCTTTTACATGAAATATGGTTGGCGGCATGTTCCACATTCCCGTAACATGCTCGCAGTGCCAAGCGTGCCTCTTGAGCTGAGCACCCCAACTGCAATAAGGTCTCTACTTTTGCTGGGTCAATGGAGAGCTCATTATACAATCTGCTAGCCTGGAAAATACAATGAATTAGGATTTTCACACAAGGAATGTACTTTATCAATGATTGTCATAAGCTATTCTTGCAAGTCGTCATTTACAGTCTACAATAGGCAGCGCTACATTACATGTCTTGCTTTAACAAGTAACTTGCAATAGTCTGACTTCTCCAATCTACTAAAAACATGAAGTTTACTGAGGTCTGGTTTACAGATTTCTATGCTTTCACTGATCTATAGAAAATCAACTGATTTAAAAGCAGAATGGGCTTGTGCACACGGGCATTTGACTGCACACAGCAATCAGTGGGAATGCAAAAGCAGCTCAAAGTTCAAAATAAACTCAGGAGCATCTGCAAGCAAATGGAACCTGAAAGCATACTTCATTGACCAGTCTACACAAGCCCCAAGGAAAGAATTGAAGGAAATAAAAGTAGGTAGGCAGCCTCAGTGCTCCAGCTGTGCTGAAACTACAGATACCATCTTGCATCTGCCTCTGGGAATCATGCCTTTGGCTGTCAGAGCCTTGCAATGTTTCATGGGACTTGTAGTTGCACAACAGCTGGAGTGCCAAGTTTGCCTACCCCTGGTCTTTAGCAGCCAATCAGATCCCAGATGTCATTCTACTATTGCTACTCATAAAATAAAAGGAGATGTCTGGCTGCTGTGGTTAATACGTCCACCTATTCCATCCATACTGACCCAAGTACAAATGAAATAAACGGTCATCATCATACCTCCGATAGTTTTTCTGATGCTTCGTTGGCTCTGCCATTGTGGTAATTTACTATTCCTTGCAGAAGATAAAGTCTTAGAAATAAAACTCTTTCTCTCCCGTAACTTCCCTGTAAAAAGCAACACACATGGTAACAGAAATATATGGACAGTGAACGTACAGGAAATAGTAAAAATGTTTAGTCAACAAATGTCTGCAGTTACTTTAAAGTGGATCTGAACTAAAATAAAAAGAGATTTGCTATCTTACATGGAACATCTGGAAATGTTAATTGTACCTATGCAGTGCCCTGAAAAGTCTACCTTTTGTCTTGTGTTCCACCTGAAAATAGCAGCGCGCTTCCTGTGCCTCAACCTTAATGACTGTATATGGTGTGCAGGGCCATCTTTACCACAGGGCAAAAGGGGCAACTGCCCTGGGCCCCGAAATCTAAAAGGGCCCACAACAGCTGTCACTTGCGCCCAGAGCAGCAAGCAGGAGCAGCACCGCTGGCGGCAGGGGCGGACTGGGCTAGGGGACTGCCGGCATGTTGACACCTAGGGTGCTAGCTTCGGTAACTGCCTGAGAGCATGATGGGGGGGAGGGTAGGGGCAGTGATTGGCAGGTGGTAGAGGAACTGGTGAGTGTTGGGAGCGGCCAGAGCTGTCAGCACCATCCTGTATTATAAGAATAATGAAGACGACTTTGGAGGACAATTCCTCTACAATAGACAACTGTCCAGCAGCATGAAAGTATTTACAAGCTTCTTTTGAAGAGAAACCTTTTAGAGAGATTTTATTTTTCTGACAAGGTCACTTTATTGTATAGGGAAGGTACTACTCAACACTAAATTAATTTTTGCAGTGTTTAGTTAGCAGGATGCTTTGTGGATTAGAGCACTGCAAGCTATATGAACACTACTTCTTTATTATAATTGGCATTTAATTCACAATAGTTTCTTGCCATTAGGGGGGTCACTTATAAAATGTTGAACAATAATGAAATATGATCTGTCACATGTTAATGAGAGCAAAACGTACAAAATGTATTTGGCCAAACTTATTTTCCACATGACACAGGCAGTTGGCTCTCTAATTGCCATTAGTGAACGTGCATTAAAAGTTGTTTTGGCATTCCCATGTGGAAACAGCCATGTCAGAGAGAGAATTATATTAGTGTCACGTCAGTACTACGGCACATTAGGAAATACCCCCATAATGGTTCCCTTCGTAGCCAAGCTTTGTTTTAAAGTGTTTATCGCTTTCAACTCCAAAACAAACATGCCCAAGGAGAGCATTTCCCAGAAGAGCCGGCCTCTTACATTTTTAAACAATTACCAAATAGTTATGCGGAAGAAAAAAAAAATCTGCATATTAGTTTGGACATTTAAAAGGATAAGTGCACCAAAACCTGACATTTAAAACCCAAATGAAGTTTAAAAAAAAAAAGTGACCAGAAAACAATGAAAAGTGAGCATAGAGTTAAAATTAAAGTGTTTTAGTGTCTGTAGGATTTTAAGCGCTCCCCAGCACCAGTCGTAGGTTCCAAAGAACTAGCAGCATGCTGCAGAGAAGGACCCTTACTCTCTGTGTGAGAGCAGAAGTCTCTCTGCAGTGGCCCAACACAACCCCGGCCGTGTCAGAGTTTTGAGAGTCAGGGCTCTGCTATCAACAAAGCTCACAAGTTCACGCTCCCAAATGATTGGAGAGCTCTAGCTTTTGCTCACTACATAACTGCTGTAGTTACAAGACATGGTACAGTAGTCCAGGAATGGGAGGGAACAGAGCACTGCACAATAAATATTGAAACATATATATATATTACCCTTTGGATATTTCTTTGGTGAAGGCCTTTGTGCAGATTTCAAGCTACTCTGAGCAGTCTGAAAATGAGACTAGATGGTCTGACTGAGGGTCAGACTGACTTTCTTCTCAATAATACCCAATGCCTCCAAGCTTTTTTAGGGCAGACAGTGCTAAATGTAGTTTACAACTGATAATTAAATCTACCAGCACAGTACAGGCAGGGTTAATTAGAGTAAACATAACTTTGTACAGCCCCCTCCTTAACATTACATAGGGGGGAAGCTAGGTTGGACTTTTAATCAAGTAAAAAGCACTTAAACATGTAAGCAGCAATTGTTTTTAAGTTATGCAATGTGAATGGGAACATGTTACAAACATAAAGTAGGTGTTATCCCAATTTGATTGAAAAAGTGGAGCTACACTTTAAGCCTGATGGTTGAGCTTGGGTCGGCAGCTTTCCACAAAATGGGGGGCCCCTAAGAGGTAGTGATCACTCGGACTGAGCTATCCATCTACATAGAACCAATACAGCATGCAAGAGCCCCAAAACACTGTCCCAGATGTCCAAATATTTTTTTATTGATTGCAGTTTATTGAGTAATAGTCAACCAACGTATTTCAGGGGCCAAAAAAAACCCCAAACCTCCATCAGGGCTTAGGCAATGTGTTTGGTGGGCTCAAAAACAAAGCTCCTGAGCAAACAAATCTATAAAAGGAGATATGTGGAAAAAGAAGCCAGTGGAGAGCTCTAGATTTTGGGTATAATGGTGGCCAGTGAACGATGTAGTGGCAGTGAGTGGGGTTGCACACCTCGATGCAGCAGTGGTGAGTGGAGTCACTTGCTGATGTAAATACATGTTAGTACTACAACTAAAGGCTTATCATAGAGATGTATAAAGAAAAATGCAACCAAGGACCAAAATGCAACAGCCCTACCAATTCTAGACTGTAAAGAGACAACACACCTTGATATTGACTAGCCGCTCATGATTCTCTCCATAGCATTTATTGAAGCGTCGCTGAGACATGTTTAGTTTGGAGTCTGCATCGTCCAAGCACTCTAATTGACCGAGGCGAAAGTAACACCACACAATGTCAAGCTGCAGCACAGCATAATTATCCACCGAGTCCAGCAGTTCTGTCCCACATTCACTTGAAAGAACCCGGAAAAAAAACACAGTAAGAATGGTAGAAAAAAAATCCATGTATAACTGTTGCAATACAGCTGGGCCAGAAAAACACAGTACTAAAACCCTAGTTTTAGCTCAAACCCAGGAAAGGTAACCTGTGAAGACAAATATGGGAGCTGTCACGGGCAATTCCCTTTTCTTATTGTCATTTTCACCTGGCTCAGAAGCAGGCAAACTTAGGAGAAGGGTGCAGAGAGCATCTGTAAATCATCAGTAGGAAGGTGCTGAGAATGCTACTTTGAATGCTGCCAGTGTGGGACATCCTGCAGGTGGATTTCTGATTGAAGCACCCACTGAAGCAATAACTGCAAACCTCTTAGCCTGTCTCTCCTGTATTAAATCCAACAGCAGTCGGCAATTCATTGGGACGGCCAACGCTGCAGAGTCAGAAACCAATTAATAATCAGGACTGCCCTCCCTTGTAAGACATTGCTTACCCTGGTCCCTGACCTAGGGATTCCAACCACAAGCTATTCCCTCTAAAACCTTTAGGCTCACCCTACTTCTTTGAGATATAAATTGCTTCTCTGACACATGTACAATAAATATTATTTGCCGAGATAGATATTACCTATTTTCTCTCTCACTTGCCTTTTTTCCTCAAACTCCAGGTAATGTTATTTTACCTCTGGGGTTTGAGTGGTGGCCTCCTAGGTCCTTGCACTCTACTCTGCAATGTTGGAATTGATGTAGTCACAATGGGCGCAACTACCGTCAATTTATTAAAAAAATTCAAAAGAACCTGAAGAATGCAAGCAATGGAAGGTAAGGATGGCAGGGATATAACACATTATACTTTCCACATACAAAAGGTTTTATATCTTGGGTGTATTATCCTAAATTGTTCAGTTTAGGATTCATTTTAAATGAATTGTTAATTATTGGCACGCTATTTATGATATGTTTTATTTTTGCCACCTCTTATGTTTTGAACATGGCTTATACCATTGTCCATGCTTGTTCATTGGCCTTACATGTCTTATTTTTTGATGGAAGGTGTCAGCTATGAACATGTGTGAGATTGACGGCTCTGTTATAAAGATAAGAATTACAGGGCCCCCTCCCTGGGCGAGTGGAAAAGACTGATCAATCAAGCACTCCCCATTTACAAACTAACATACGAGCAGAGAGGTAACCCGACACGTTTTGGTTGCATATGGGACCCATGGCTGGCCTCCTCAAACACAAATGTGGAAACGGGGTAGTACTAACTCTTTGGCCCTGAGTCCCCCAGTCCTGGACCTATGAGCCCAAGGTGATACTTTTTGATCTGCTGATATATGTGGCTGAGTTTGTTTCTCAATGTTCTGTGATACCTATCTTAGAGCTTTATCACCATGTCTTGAACCTTGAATATTGCATCCACAGCTTGTGTAACTTGTGTAACCATGTAACCTCATGACCAACATAGAGAGTGTACTGATATGTAAATGCCTGGGTTATGTTGACCCAATTGTTGTTTGTTGATGGTGTTGTTGTTATCATTGTTGTGTCTCAGACACTTGCAAAAATCAATAAAAATGATCTTTAAAAAAGAAGAATTACAGAAAACTGGGCCCCTGGGGTATCAGGAGTCCTAACAGTCTCTAGTAACCGAATGGTTTCTTAAAAAAAGGTAGACAGTATAAACTCCAATTCTTTAAACAGTCTTTAGGAATAACAAAAGGGAAAGTGTAAAAATAAATATAGAAATGGGAGAAATAATCAAGTAGCTTGCCTTTAGATCTAGAAAAAGATTTCCAAAGCTTAATATCTGCCTGCAGTGTACTCAGTAGTGGCACAATATTATATTCAATTTAGTCCGTGACGGCCTTTTTACAATGACTTAAAAACATTCCATCTAAGACCTGACCTGAAATTTACTGGAGGGTAAATATGATTTATACACCTATTGTGGCCCCCTCCCTGGGCGAGTGGAAAAGACTGATCAATCAAGCACTCCCCATTTACAAACTAACATACGAGCAGAGAGGTAACCCGACACGTTTTGGTTGCATATGGGACCCATGGCTGGCCTCCTCAAACACAAATGTGGAAACGGGGTAGTACTAACTCTTTGGCCCTGAGTCCCCCAGTCCTGGACCTATGAGCCCAAGGTGATACTTTTTGATCTGCTGATATATGTGGCTGAGTTTGTTTCTCAATGTTCTGTGATACCTATCTTAGAGCTTTATCACCATGTCTTGAACCTTGAATATTGCATCCACAGCTTGTGTAACTTGTGTAACCATGTAACCTCATGACCAACATAGAGAGTGTACTGATATGTAAATGCCTGGGTTATGTTGACCCAATTGTTGTTTGTTGATGGTGTTGTTGTTATCATTGTTGTGTCTCAGACACTTGCAAAAATCAATAAAAATGATCTTTAAAAAAGAAGAATTACAGAAAACTGGGCCCCTGGGGTATCAGGAGTCCTAACAGTCTCTAGTAACCGAATGGTTTCTTAAAAAAAGGTAGACAGTATAAACTCCAATTCTTTAAACAGTCTTTAGGAATAACAAAAGGGAAAGTGTAAAAATAAATATAGAAATGGGAGAAATAATCAAGTAGCTTGCCTTTAGATCTAGAAAAAGATTTCCAAAGCTTAATATCTGCCTGCAGTGTACTCAGTAGTGGCACAATATTATATTCAATTTAGTCCGTGACGGCCTTTTTACAATGACTTAAAAACATTCCATCTAAGACCTGACCTGAAATTTACTGGAGGGTAAATATGATTTATACACCTATTGCCAACGGGCAAATAAGAGATTTTTCCCGCTTAACCCTGAAAGCTGATAAATTCTGTGACAAGCTGAAAAAATGATTGATATGGGTTGGCCAAATCAATCAATCAAGCAATGTGCCATCCACATATAAGAAGGCTGCTGTATTTAGCTTACTGCCCAGAAGTATACAGAAACTTTAAATCTAATTCATTTTATAATTACAGTGTTCTTAAGATGCAGGTGCGTGGTGTTTGCATTTATCGAACACTATTAAATACTATAGGTGTAGTGATTTTATAAGCATGCCTTTTTTACATCATCTAGCACTGCATTATGTATGTACTGCACAAAAACTGTGGAACCAGCACACGATGATCTTCCAAAGAAATTCAAACTTTATTCCACATGCATCTATACTAAGAACAACTTGTAGAGATGCATGTGGAATAAAGCACAACCAGTTGTTCTTTGTATAGATGCATGTGGAATAAAGTTTGAGTTTCTTTGGAAGATCATCTACAGTTTTTGAGCCAATCACTCCAGAAGAGAGTCATCCGTGCACTGAGTGTGGATTGCAAGGACGCATGATAGGGGTGAGCTGTGCGTTTGAGTTTTTAGTCTATGCATGTACTGCATAGTGTGGGTGTCTGTGCACCCATTTTTGTCCATTCACAAAAGCACGGCTATGACGTCATCATTCCTGTGAGGGTGGGGTGTTGTAAATAGTAGAGAGGTCACTTTAGCCATAAAAATCTCATTCAAAGTAACGTCCATGTCACACCAGCAATCCTGATGCTGCAGGAACAGAATGGCAGTCAAATACTGATCAGCTTGCATGTGCCTCCCTTCGTAGGTGTCTTACAATCTGCAGTGTTTTCATCAGTGAGGGAGCAAGATCCCGCACTGGGGTGACGAGTGCGGTGTGACAATGGAGTAACATATACAAGTAGGTTAATGTTTTCTCTGCACATTTTGGCGATCCTGTCACTGGCAAATTCTGGCCAGCAACAGGGTCATTAATGGGACTTGAGCTTCAGAAAAAAAAAAACCAAGATTAAAATGAATAACCCGTTTAAAAAAATAAACAACAAGCCAAATTTTACAGCAATATTCAGGTGCAATCTAGAGTTATCCTTCACTGCACTTTAATTCTGCCACTGGGGATCATCAGTCTGATGGCCAGCATAATAAAACCCACTTCCTCTGAACCCAGGTCATTCTGGACCAGCAGTAGCCTTTGATTGAACAGAGAAGGGAGAAGTAGCCCACTGATAAGCTCATCTCTCTGTCCCTCTACTTGCTCCATGTATCAGCATGCTTCTTGTTAGCACGACAACTGCTCCTTACTCTCACATTCCAGCCCTGTTGTACAAGGACTGTGAGGCGGATACCAGGTACAATTCAGGTACTGACTACATTAATGATGCACTTAATGATGTATTAGTGATTACAGAGCTGCATTCATTTGTGTAATTTATATATGCCTAGAGTTCATGTTTAAAGTCCTCTGGTGTTAAGAACATTTAGACTACCTAATGTTAGCTATAGCTTCAAAAGGAGAGTTTTCAAGGACTCAGTCCACTCAAAAGATTGCATTTGAGGGCTTTTTGCCCATTTCTTTTCATGCAAATGTCAAAGTAACACAGAGTTATGCTAAACAACCTCTGCATGGGCAGAACAACAAACACAAATCCCTTACAGCTCCTGGCTATTTTGTCCCAGAGCGCTATCTTTTCCTCCTTAGGACAGAGCTATCTCAGTCTCTCTGCTTAACTGGTTCCATCAGTCACCAGACTGGACCTGTTGTCTGCTCACATACATACTGCTACTTGCTTAGCTTAAACACACCGGTGTGTGCAGAAGAGGACTACCTCTGCCCCTTCACATTCTCCAACTTTCAGATGTTAGTCTATCACAGTGGTCTGCGACTGCAGACCTAAAATGCCTGGACACATGCTCCCGAGCTCAAGCTCAAATCAGCTCTCACAGTAAATAAGAGCAGTGACTGACTAAAGAATTTTCTCTTTTGTGAGCAACATCTACCTGTCTACAGTCAGTTTCACACCTGTCCGGGTACCCTTTCCCCTCTGAACCTGGCATAATATGCAACATGAGAGACCTTCCATTTAAGCAAAAAGATTAATATGGTTACATTAAACACCAGCATGTGTGGAGTGTGGCCTAGATTTAAGGTGTAACTGGAAATTGATGTTGCTAGACAGAAAAATCAAACAAGACAAGAAGGAGTTTAATATTTCTGCTAATCCATCATAAAAATTTTCCAGCACATTAGAAACAGCTGAATATAAGCAGCATATTTGCAGTTTGACAACGTGGTCATCAGTTCATAGGTTATATGTGTATTGGTGTTGGGTTATGTTTAAGTGTGTTATACTGTCCCCCCCCCTCGTTAGCTCCCTTTGTACTCCAAGGAGCTCAGGACAATGACATTCTCCTGTGTCTGGCCAGACTCCTGCTATGGCTGTCTGGAGCTCTTCAGCAGATGGACCCCTGCTGGGTTGTACAGTCAGAATGTCTAGGGAGGGCAGGGTGGATGTGATGGGATTATAATCTGATCACTTTGTGTATAAAAGGCTGCACAGTTTCTAAATAAAATCAGAGTTTGTTTCACCCTACTCTCGGTCCCGACTAGTGACTGGGGAAACTGGAAGCTAAAGATCTTCAGGTTGCAATATCTCCTGAGCAAGGAAGAATACAGCAGCGGACATACCCTTCCTGAGTACTGGGGTCCGTCACAGTGACTACTTGTTACTCCTGGAGAACTAATGTCTGAACTACCTAAATGTTGCAAAGGATGCTCAGTTTGCATCTCCTGAATATTGCTAATTTATTACCTCATATATGCATAAAATGTCTTTTAACAGAAAACAAAAACTTTGCTATTAGCCACCCAGCCAAAGTTAATGCAGTGTAAACTTCCTGTACAGATTCTGAAATTAAACAAATATTTGTTAATTTTATTACTAGCTCTACGATATAAGGGAGACCTATGTTTGCATGTTACTCTGCCTTTAAATGGTGAAAATTCCCTCTAAATAAACTGACTTACACCTAAATGAGTGCAATCTATCTAACATAATGCAAATGTCAAAGCAATGGTTATAAAAATCAACAGACCCCTGAAGAACTCATTAGACTCTGACCTTTATAGTCCGCTGGCGAGAGCTGTCATATGTTTCAATGTTTTTCAGACCTCTTTAAACTCAGAGGGGATTTAGCCTCCATGCAGTGAAAAAAAATAAAAAGGAGGCCCTGTAACCTTGTAAACAGATAAGGATGAATCAGCCCTTACCAGAAGTGCTTGTCTGCATCCAACAGGAACGGCAGTGCTAAAGCATACTCTGTTCTCTTCAGGAATGCTCTTCCCCTTTCATGATAGCCCATTGCCAGCATGAGAGCCTGCAGACAAAAATCCAAGCAATGGAACAGTGAGAAACATTCAGGATTACACCAGGGATTCCGTGGCAAGAAAACCAGAGCAAGGATCGCAGAGATGAGTCTCTAGAGAGCCATTTCTAACCATCACCCAAATTGTAGCGATAGGAACGTGCCAGTTTTGAGCTCTGACATAGTGTGAGTCATTAACTGTCCATACTTTCCAAAATGATGTTATGCAGACCTTTCATAATATCAAATGACAGTAAGCAGAGTACACTAATGATGTGTAAATAAAACAGTATGGCAATCCAAACGCCAGATGTTTGCAATGCGACAAATGGATGTTACTTCCGGGCGTGTTCAACAAGCTGAAGCATGCGATATTCTGACCTCAGCGGCTACTCAGTTCCGAGCAGTGAATCTGCCTGACAAATGCTGACTGACTCACAAATAAGAAACAATGGCCCTCCGTGTAAGGCCTTGTTCACAATGTCTTCAACGTGCATGAGAGCAGTGTATACAGCAATCATTTGCGAAGCTTTTGCAAAGCATTTGTAAAGCTTCGAGTAGCTTTGTTGAAGTATCACTCAGCTTTAGACCCTCAAATCATCTCTGAATTCTTGCTGACACTGTCCTTCCTTCTGGAGGGTGGCTACTTTTGTTCCCCCATGGTCCCTGTGTGTGTTGTAAAGTAGACACTGCTCCAAGCTCACTCCTGTGATGGACTACAATCTTAATACCAATTAGTAAACTCAAAGTGACACTGTAGTCCATCATGGGAGTGAGCTTGGAGTGGTGGCTACTTTACAACACACACAGGGACCATGGAGAACAAAAGTAGCCACCCTCCAGAAGGAAGGACAGTGTCAGCACCAATTCAGGCTAGGTTCACACCCGCACTACAGCACATTACACCCGGGACGCCCGTCCTGGGATCGCGTGGTACAATGCAAGCAGCGATTGCCATTTCAATGGGGTGACATCCGCGCGGCAAATTGCAGAAAAGGGTACATGTACCTTTTGTTTGCTATACACGATGCGCGGCTGTTTTAGCCGCAATCGTGTACGGAAGCACGGGCGAAATGGCGTCAGGAAACCGCACGATCCGCCCGATGCGACTGGGGTGCTATTAGAAAATAATGGCACCCACAGCGAGATCGGTTCACACCTTGACGACTCCTGAACGCACTGCAATACGCGCAGAATCGTGCAGATTGCCGCACGCTGAGGTGTCGCCTAGGTATGAACCTAGCCTCAGAGATGACTTGAGGATCTATAGCCGAGTGATACACAATTAAGATACATTTTTGTTAGTAGTTAAGATAGTTGGATGCATTTTTCAGATTGGTTTAGTGTCACTTTAAAGAACACTTTAGTTCCAGTATGGGAATGTTTAACACAGATCATAAAGGGAGTGCTGACTTTCACTTTAAACAAGCTGCTAGCAGGCTTCAGTAGATTTTGAAACAAGCGTCACATAGTGCTGAAGCTTACTGAAATCTGCTAGCAGCTTGTTTATCAGCACTTCCTTGAAGATCTGTGCTCAACATTCCCAAACTGGATCCGAATTGTACTTTAAAGTGCATTTCCACTTTTGCAGCCAAAATGGGATAACACTATTTTATATGTGTTACATGTTCCCACATAGCATAACTTAAGAAAATGCTGCTTACATATATTACTTGTTTTTCCATATTGTTAGTTTTTTGTAAACTGAGTTTTCCTCTGGAATGCAAGGAGGCCAGAGAGATGTACTGCACTGTTCTGGCAGATTTCATTGTCAACTGTAGACTGCATCTAATCAATGCCTGATCAGATTGTATGCATTTCATAAAGATTTATATTGATATTCAGACTTCTGTGTCACAGGGTTGTAAGGCTGCAAATTGGACTTTGGTTCTTACGTGAACCAAGTTTTACAAGGTAGACGTGTCAGCATCAGCAGGTGCTTTTGGCACTCACCTCAAAATCACTTTCCTGCAGTCCATTAAGGGACACATCATCCCTCCATCTTATGTAGTTAAAGAGAACTATGGCCAAACCCTTTTCGGCTCAGTTCTCTTTTGGGTCACAGAACTACATTTACTAATGTACTCCTGTGACCCAAAGTCAGCATATAGCAGGCTACTGGAAAGAATCCAGCAATATTGTTGAGGGGGAAGAGCTGGCTCCGGCTCTTCCCCCTCTGTCTCTCCAATGAGCGCTGGAGGAACGGAGAGAGGAATCCCTGCATGGAGCGGTGACTGACATTCAGCCATGAGCTGAGCGATCAGCGGTTTATGATTGCTCAGCTCTCAATCTTTAGACCCGGCATGTGACATTTGCAGCGTCACAAGCTGGCTCAAACTATTGGGATGAGTACATTTTGAGGCAAGTTATGTCCCCTAAGGGATGCACTCAAGTTTTCGTGCCTTGTGTCCAATCACCCTGTAGTCAGCAGTATAACCAATTGTTTATGAATATGAAGTGTTTCTTAATGGATGATAAAGAAATCCAGTGTTTGCTTTAATTTTTTTATGTTTTCTCTCCTTGTGCTAAGCACAAATGCTGCAGGCTCTTTGTATGATCCTTCTGTGGACATGTGTGAGCTCTAACAGTGGCTAAAGGTCACATTGTCAATGTGGTGACAACAGAAGAATGGGCAAATGTACTGTCACGGGTGCTTGTAGTCCAACATAGGGGCACAGGAAAGGGTGACAACGCTGCATGAGAGTAAACATAGTCACCCTAGAAAAGGAAGGGTCTGTGGAAACACTTAGCTTGAATGATTTAACTGAAAGCAGGAAAAAAAAAAAAGAGAATACATTCTTTGACATCATAGAAACATCTGCAACAACATATTTAGTTGAAATGTTCAGATTAGATTCACTTTAAAGTGTAGACTTCAGTATTCATACTAAACACTAGTAATAGTCGGATACTATATATAGTTTTACCTTTTTTGCAGCTTTAGGCATATTGATTGCGCGTCCTGTTTGATTTGCAATCTCCAGGTATGGCGTTGTATCTGGATCCAAGCTATCACCTGTAAGAAAACAACATTAGAGCTAGGTAGAGCTAGGTAAACTAGTTTCTATGTAAGAAGCAGCAATCTAAAAAGGTGGGGGTCCCTACCTGAAATTGACAGGCAGCAAGATCTCTGTCCACCCTTTGTACGCCTAAAACCTCCTGGAGTATAACATGGCTAATGTGTAGGAGCGAGTGAGGAAATTATGCTATAATTATTCTATTTTTAAATCTTAGGGGACTGTTACATAAACTTTGTTAATTACTTTTACCAGTTTTTTTAAATAGACAACAATATGTCACTAATGCTACAAAAAGAAGCACATTTCAGCCGTTGTCTGTGCATGAAATCAAGTACAGTAATACCTTGGTTTACAAGTAACTTGGTTTGAGAGTGTTTTGCAAGACAAGCAAACATTTCTGAAAATGTTTCCTTTGATATACAAGCAATGTCTTGCACTAAGAGCAACATTTTGTAGAAAAGCACCACCGAATAAGGCTGTAGCAGTGCGAGCGATGAGTCTGTTTAACGACAATGCAATGTCACATTGGATAGATTCCTTGTTAAGGTTTCACGAAATGAAAAAGATTCCGTTGAGCCAAGAGATAGCAATGATTCGGTTAGTGATAGTGAAAGTCGTCCTACACAACAATCCTCCTCTCTCTCGTCCCCCTCACACCAGCCACGAAGGTAACCGGAAATTGGTTTATTTTTCTTTATATTTTGTACAGTATTATATTACGGTACAGTATTGTAATTATTTTTATATGAATATTTTTGGGTTGTGGAACGAATCATCTGAATTTCCATTATTTCCTATGGGGAAATTCGCTTTGATATACAAGCGCTTTGGATTACAAGCATGCTTCCGGAACGAAATATGCTCGTAAACCAAGTTATTACTGTATTTACTTTATATCCATGATCGCAGCTTTTTAGTGTCCAGACTGTATTGTAGCTCATCTTTCAGTCTCTGTCATTAAAAAAGAAAAGCATAGAATGTCGGCACATACCTGAAGCAGCCCAGAATGTGCTAACAATGCATTGTCCCATGGTAGCCCCACATAGCCAAAATGCAATAGATTGTGTAAAAATAATCTTGCACAATAAAAATAAATACTGTGGTTCCCTCGGTTCAGGAACTTAATTCGTTCCACGATTCTGGTCGTAAACTGAATAGGTCGCGAACTGAATCAAATTTCCCCATAAGGTTCAATGTAAATAAGGTTAATCTGTTCTGACCCCATCGAACGTGGTTGTGAACCGATTTTGGTCGTGAACAGAATCAGATTTTCCCACAAGGTTCAATGTACATAAGGTTAATCCGTTCTGAACCATATGTAAAAAAGATTTTTTAACCACTAAAATATGAAACAAAGTACAGTGCAGTATGAAGAGAGTGAACACTAAGCTTTGCACTTTCTTTGGAGCCATGCTGGATTGAATAATACTGTACAGCACTGTATGTGCTAAAAAGCACATAAAAAAGCTTCACAGCAAGTGTACCCAGGTCTGTGTGCGACCGCGATCTCGACTAGAGGAAGCCACGACCACGTGTCACAGCAGGGAAGTGTTCTTCACCTGTTTTGAAGTTCATGAACGGAAGCTAAATTTTGCCGAACTTCCTGTTTGCGAACTGAATTGTTCGCGAACAGAAGCGTTCATTACTGTATAACAAAATTGGATCTTTAGCATTTCGTGGTCACAATGTTTCAGGTATCCCTTCCTCCCATGTGCCAAGTAATCCAGGGCTAGACAGGTTAAGGGGAAGGAAGTCTAATTGCATTGAAGAGACCTTGTCCAATCTCTAAATCAAAAGGAGGAGCTCCCTGCTATAGATGGAAATAGTATTAGCATCTTCGGTTGCCCCTGTGCCAAAGCTTTTCTGCTGTTGTAGCGATGCAGCCTCTGTCTCTTCAGCATTCCCTACTTCCGGAAGTGTTGTATCCCCTGAGTCCACAGCTACATGCTGGTTCCTTCTCCTCCAAATGCCAAGTCCTTGTAGTGATGTAGAGGTTAAAGGAGGAACCAAGTGTGTGGAAGGGGACACAGGCATCGCACACTCCCGGAAGTGCTAAATCCTGAAGAGTCAGACGGAGGCTCCATTGTTGGAACAGAGAGAAGGAAGGTGCTGCTGGAGGGGCCAGTACAATATGGGGGGAATTTATCAAAACTGGAGCAGACAGAATCTGGAGCAGTTGCCTATAGTAACCAATCAGCTTTGCTCTTCAGTTTATTCAGTTAGGCTTTGAAAAGAGAGAAGCTGATTGGTTGCCATGCACAAATGCTCCAGATTTGGTCTGCTCTAGTTTTGATAAATTCCCCTCTGTCTCTTCTAATATGGGGTACAGGCATGTTTATATCATTACAGCCCTGATATGCTCTCTTTCATCTCCCAGGATACATCTGGAAGGGCTAGGGAACTTGTAACCAAGAAGCGCAAGGGTCCATTTTCTTAATCATAGTATCACTGTAAGACTTATTTTTTATAAAGCCTATTGCATTTCTAACTACGATGTGGGGCTACAGAGGAGACTGCGTACTGTTTACTTTTAGACTTTAGGTGCGGTTTAAGGGCAGTTCAAATTGAAGTGTAGCTTATTCTAGAAGCGATATGGAAACTCCTCGGGGACCACAAACATTTTACAAGGCTCACACAAACTATTTCCAAGTGAACAAATACAAAACAAACATCCAGCATAATCTAGTAAAACAAGAAACAGCATGTTTTCTTTCTTTCTGTATAGTATAAAATCACTTTTAACTATAACATATAGTTAGGCGATTGGCAAGTAATCAGGATGTTTAATCCCTTCATGACCAGTGACGTACAGTGTACGTCACTGGTATCGTGCCCGTTTAAACAGACTCCCGCCGGGACTCTGTTTGTATTTGTAAAGCCGACGGCCGGATTTACAATAGAAGCGATTCTGACTCAGCTGTTGTCAGATCGCTTCTATGGGCCGGTAAATGGCCCCCAGTGATGACACCCCTGCCGAGATTCCCGGGCTCCGCTGCCCCTCCTACAGACCCGGGACCTGAATCTCTGGTGTCAGGGAAAGCTGGAGAGGAGAGCGGCGAACGTCCGTTCACCGATCTCCTCCCTGTACTACGGGACCGGGAGCGATGCAGATTAGAGAACTTCCGGTCCCATAGCTGTCATTGCTTGGCTCCTGAAGCCCAGCTATAAGCTATTGAAGTGCGATCTGCACTTCATTAGCTTATTTCAAGTGTAAAGGTGACACTAGGGGTCTTTTGGACTCCCAGTATCACCTCAAAGAGTACCTGTCACTGCCTATATGCTATCACATGGGGGGCTTGTAAGCCCCCTATGTGATAGCAATTAAAGCAGTTAAAAAAGCAACAGTTTTTAAAATTATTAAATTAAATGTAAAAATGTTTTTAACCACTTCAAGACCAGGTGTTTAGACCCCCTTCCTGGCCAGGCCATTTTTCAGTGTTCAGCGCTGCGATACTTTGACTGACGTTTATTCCGTCATGCAACGCTGTACTGAAATGAATTTTATACCATTTTTTGGGGACAGATAGGGCGTTATTTCGGTGGTATTTAATCACCACTGGGGTTTTTATATCTCCAAACTGATGACCTGTAGGGGCTTTTAAAGCGTCGTCTATTGACTTTTTGGGGTACTGAATTTTGTCGCAGTTTCACAGACGCACACAATTTTTAACCTGGGCATGCTGAGTATCTATTTACTCATTGTAGCCTCATCTTTTATATTCTATTTAAAAAAAAAAGGATATTTTATTGTGTTTTGGGGCATGTAAGTGCATTTTTCACAAAATGTTGCGGTTTAATAAGGAGTTGTGCTAATAACGTGCAACATAAAAATTTGCAATTAGCACCATTTTTTTCTATAGGGTCTTGGCTTCCAGAAAATATATAATGTTTATTAAGCAGACATTTTAAAAATATTAATTCAAAAATAAAAAGTTATTAAAAAAAATATTGCTTTCTCATGTTGAGTAATATCTAAAAGGTGATAGACAGTTCTTGAGGGAAATGTAAGCAGATGGGCTAAATATTTACCAGCTGACTGCTGTTTGAATGCTGGCATCTCCATACACTGCTGACTATACAGCTATGCATATTTGTGCAACAGAACCATCAGTGCACAGCAGGAAAATAATTGTACAAACACAGGTACCACTGTTCAGCATCTTCATTGATAAATCGGCCATACAGCCGCACACCTCTAACAGGTTTTACCACACAGGCTTAAATCATAGAGGCTCTATGATTGCTCAGAGGGCACCACCCGGCTCAACAAAAGTCGGTTTTTCAATCTACTTTCGTGGAAGGGGCCAGGTGGAAAATTTTCAGCCTAACAGTGACTGCAGCCAATCAGCAATATAATGTTTATTCACAGTTTAATCCACCCCTGAAAGTACCAAGTATTTGCTGTGCCCCCTGCAGCTTGAAGGGGAAGCAAAAGGAAATATAAGGATGTAACCAACCTGCCAACTGCATTAAAGTGAACCTGTTTTGCCCTGCATGGGAAGGAAGTTAAGAGACACTGCTCTAGTCCAGTGATGTAAGCTATTACTTTAGATTTAGATTTCAAAATCCTAAAACTATATAAACCCAGACAACTCAGTGACCAGAAACTGCAGGATAACCATTAGACACTGTTGCAGTAAAAGCACCAACTACCTTTATAGTGTGACTTCAGCTGACCAAGCAATGTAAATACATCTGATGCAGATGTGAGGCTTCCAGTTAACCTGCATAATGTTTTTCAGTGATAATACAAATTACCCAAAAAGCCAATTAATTATAATTAATTTCAGTTGGTTCAGACCATTACATACCCCGCTCGGCAAGGATTTCCAGCCCTTGTTTTGTACGCATCATCTTCTTCTTCACACTCTCCTGCTTCTGTGTCTCCTCTTCTCTTTCCTTCTCCTCATTGTGGACCCTCTTCCTTGCCTCTTCCTCTGTGTAACTGAGTTCAAGGACCAACACCTTGGAATTGTGACCAACTCCTTGTTCTTGCAGAGTTTTATCTAGAGAAACAGAAACAGGTTTCCTCATACACTGTCTGGATGATGTTTATTGCCATCAACAATGTTACATTACATTTTTAGCTCAGTATAGAATCAAGACTAGCTGGAAGAATAGTATATATTATTAGACTTAGTGCACATTTCTGTTACAGGTATAAAAAGACACAAAATTAATGTAGCTCTGCATTCAGTAAAACATGATTAAATGCAGGTTTTCAAATGCAAACAGTGTAAGTACCTGGAATCAGCCTCCTGCAATTCTCTGTACTGCAGAATTCAGATTGGGAGAGGGAGAGGCAGAACAAGGAACAATCTGTTGTGCTACAATGCTCATGTGCTAACAATGTACATGTTGATACTAATGTCCTCCTGTGACCCAAAATGCAGCATATAGCGGGCAATGCTATATGCTGACAGCGCCGAGCCATTTTGCAGCTGGGAAGGATCACGACAATATTGTTGGGATCCACCCCACTACCTGATTGACAGCTGACTCTGCCTCCTCCCCCATCTGTCCCTCTAGTCAGTGCCGGAGGATCGGAGAGGGGAATCCCTGTGGGGTGCGGTGACTGATAGTCACTTCTCTCTGCAGGGACATGATCGAGTGATCAGTGGTATGTTATCGTTCAGTTCATGATCTATAGAGCCGACATGTGACAGCTGCAGTATCACACGTCAGCTCTAACTATGGGGATGAGTGCATTTCACTCTCCCCATAATTCTCTTTTAAAGCATTCTTACATAAAGAATCTGCAAATGGAAAGGATATGACTTTCCAGACTTCAAAGATATACATCTCTGAATCAATTAGTTCCCCGGGGAAAATGGTGAATTGTATTAGGATTCTATCACATGAAATCCAGACGCAGTGATTTCTAATTTTTGTAATCCATTAAAAATTAATTTCAATAGCCAAATGCGCTATTTCATGAAATTTAGGACAATACCCTACTGCCAGGAACCCTGATGTCTGTTTTTAATAGTAAATCTTGAAACAATGGTAAGTGCTGTATAATCTACTTGTCTCTAGAAGTACATAAGCCAAAACACCCCTGAACACTACACTAAACATGCCAAAAACACCAGAGATTTTCTTTAACTGTTATTAAAGAACATGAATAAATTCCATTGTGACGGCTAATTTAATGAACTTCTTTTTCATTCTGCATTTAGACAACTCTCTGGATTCCAGAACATTAAAGTGCTTCTTAAATGATTATAAAGCAATGTTGCCTGGTAAAAAGAAAACCAAAAGCCTTACAGACTTGGTGATGCAAAGGTCAGTGCTTTTATACATTGTGTAAGTAAACCAGCATAAGGATGATCAAAAATAAAGTCAAATAAAAAAGTAAGAATGACTTTCCCTCTGGCACTAATGAAGAAGGGGTTAAAGTACATAGATCTCCCCAAACTCTGTCTTTGGCCAGCACTATTCATATCTCTACCAGAAACACATGGTAAAATTTAAAAGGGTGAATGGAAGGCCCACTGCAGGTAAAGAGGTCTTACATATATTTCTAAGGGCTGGGTGTCACCCCTGTACAAAGAGGGGGGAGGTGGAGACTGGGG